CGGGGCGCGGGTTCGCGCGCTCGCAGTTTCGGCCCCCGACGCGCAGCGCGGGGGCGATGGCGCATTCATGACGGATGGGGGGGGCGCGTCCAACGCAGCGCGCCGTGCGTCACAAGCATCATCCAGTGAGCGTGCGCGTGTATGAATTATTTCCACGCGTTACCCAGAGAGGTTGATTAATGCATGAATGAATACAAACTGCTTATGCGTGTTATTTATTCATTTACATATATTACATTATATTTAAAGGAATTATTTAATTAACCTAAAACCGAACACTAACATTGCGTTTCCGAACACACTAACCCCACGTTTCCGAACACTAGAACCACGTTTCCGAACACTACTCGTTGTTTCTGAACACTAATTATTATTTTGAATAATTTTGTAAATATTCATATAGTCAGAAATCAATTTGATTTATATTAATTACAAATAACGTACTTACTATAAATAATTAGCTTAAATATTATGTGTGTTATATACAGGACGTACATATATTGCGCGCTGCGCTATTGCGCGACGGTTTTAGTGTTCGGTTTTAGTGTTCGGTCTTAGTGTTCGGTTTTAGTGTTCGGTTTTAGTGTTCGGTTTTCTGCCGCTGTAATCGCAGCCGCGTTCGCAGCCCCCCCTACCAAGACACCCGCCCGCCGCCCCGCGCCCGTTGCCGACCGCCGCTGTCCCCCGCGCAAGGGCGGCGCGCGCGGCGCCGGCGCTGCGGCGGGCCCCCGTAGCGCCCCGACCCCCCGACGCCGCCCGCATACCGCGCCTGCGCCAGCCAGGGTCGCGGCCGCCCGCTGCGGGCCGAGCCAGCGTGCCGACCGCCAGCGCAACCTTTCGGCGTTGTCGCCAGTCGGCCACAGCCTTTGCGTCAGTCGGGGCCTTGCCTCAGGCGCGCCCTTCAACTCTAGGCGCGCAGGGCCAAATCCACAGACGCGTCGGCGCGCCGTGCGAGCGAGGGTTTGGGCTGGGCCGAACAAGCGAGTTGGGTTCGGCGCAACCCACGTGCCGCGTCGCCATGTTAGTGCAAGGTCCAGGAACCAGGAGTTGGAAAATCCGCAAATCGGGTCTAGGGGTAAGGGCTCGATGCGCGACACCGAGGGTCTAGGAACACGTGGGGTCTACGGCGTAAGGCATTTGGCGTAGGGTCTAGGGTCCAAGGGTTAAGAAATTCTGGCCCAGGGTCTAGGCGTAAGGCTCGGGTGTGTCGTCTAGGGTCATAGTCATAGTGTCACGGTTGTAAGGTTTTGGCGTTATAAACCGTTAGCGCTAGGCTAGGGTCAAGGATCGCCTAGGGCCCACAGCGCAGGGCCCAGGGTGAGGAAGCGAGGGCTTGGGATCCGATCTAGAACCTAAGCTCGGTTCTCAAGCGGCCTAGGGTTAGGAGACTAGGGGTTTGGGCTTGGGCAAAGAGCATCAATGCTATATCGGCCTGTAACATAGTTAAGTATAGGGTATAGACTATTGCACTATAGAGGATGTAGGCCACAGGCTATCAGGTTCTCGGGTTGAGGACCCAACGTCGAAGCGCTCGTGGGCTTGCGGTGGGGGGCATCGCGTTGGAAAACAAAGCCCCAATGCCTTCACGTGCCAAGTTTCCCGCTTTTTGGCGGGTGGCGCATTTATTTCGAGGGGGGGCGGGCAACCAGCATGTGCACGAGATGTCAGAAGTCCGCGCGGATTTCTTGGATCAGAATTGGACCTCCCCCTCCCTTAGTGCGCTTGTGGGGCCGCCCCTGGCGCGTTCCGCGCGCCTGGGGGATTGGGGCTGGTTCAGCGCTGATCCAAGCAATGCCCGTTGATTTTTGCAAACTTGTGTTTTGCCGTTGCGCCGCATTGTTGTTTGGGGGAAACGTGTGCGTCGATGGAAGTTGAGCCGGTTAGTTTGCCGCGGCGCCCCAAGCGGCCTGGCCCTGCCCCGTGCGCCCCCCCCCGGCCACCGCGACTGCCCCGGCGGCCGCCGGCGACCATGCCGGACCCGGAGCCCGGCGACGACATGTCCGACCCTGGGCCCCCCTGGCCAGTTGGAATCGTCGGCCCCGCCGCCGCGTCTAGGAGTCTGGAGCATTCGGGCGTTGGCCCGCCTTGAGGGGAACGAGAGGCGGGGTGGAGAAGCTTGGGGGGAGGAATATAGGCGGAGCAGCAAGAGGAGGAGGAGGAGGAGAAAGAGGAGAAAAAGGAATGGCAGGAGAGAGGTGTCAGAGAGGGGTCCACGGATACCATGAAATTACCCCTGCAGAAGCCGGCTTGGAAGGAATAGGAAGGGGAGGTGAAAGATGAGGAGACTGATGATGATGATGATGATGGTGATGGTGATGGTGATGGTGGTGGTGATGGTGATGGTGATGATGACGATGTGATGTTGATAATGATGATGCTGCTGATGATGATGATGGTGATGGTGATGCTAATGCTGATGATGATGTTGAGAAGGAGGAGAAGGAGGAGAAAGAGGAGGAGGGGGAAATTGTAGGAGCGAGGGAAAGAAGAGGATCGTGCCCCCCCAGGCAAGCAGCAGCCGACGGCGACGACGGGAAGTCCAAGAGGAGCAAGCAGACCTCCAAGTCGTCCGTAGACGAGTTCGGGCGCAAAATCAAGACGTGCAAGTTGTGCAACTGCAAGAGTAGCAGTCCGAACCCGCTGGAGTCGGCAGGGCTCGGGGTAAATCTTCCATTGTCTCCTCCTCCTCCTTCTCCTGTTCCTCGTCCTCCTTCTCTCCTCCCCTCACTGACCTAAAACCTGCAACATAGAAAGCATTCCCTCGCTCCCTATGCCCACGATTGGAACTGAATCACCGTATCTCTTATCCCGCTCATCCCCATGCCGACCTTGAGCGTCCCTCTGAGCTTCTGAGGGCGCATCCCTAGTTAGTGGAATCACATGTTTGTTTGTCAACCCTGGGGATAAGATAGGGCGTCGCGGGTTGTCTCGGCATCTACCGAGATGCCAGTTAGATCGAAGTCAAGAGTAGGAAGTAGGATTCTAAGTTGGCCGCCCCCCCACGCCCAACTCCCCCCCCCCCGCTAAACAAATGCCGGGCACCCTCGCCCCCGCACCCCCCCAACCCCATTTTCACCCCCCACCCCTCGCCCCTCGCCCCATCCCAGGGCAGGCCAGACGACAAGTACAAAGGATGCCGCCCTTGGCGGTACGTCCAGAAGAAGATCCTCAATGGTCAGAGTGTTTTTGAAGCTGTTGGTAAGATATGCCTTATTTGTTTCAATGCGCATCGGATCTTGGGGCTCGACAGCGAGCGCAAGAGCGTGGAGGAGTATTGCGGCGCCATCCGCAAGAACGCCAACATCCACGCGCCGTTCATGGACGCCGTGGCCAGGTTCAACAGGGAGCACAACGAGGATGAGGATGGCGCCAGGCTCAAGAATGCATCAGATTTTAAGAAGGCGGCCGCCCTGAAGGCCGCGAGCAAGTCAGGGTCGAGGATCGCCAAGCCGAGGCTGATATTCGTGGACAAGGATACCTACGAGAAGGAATACGGGACCGTCGACACATCCAAGCTCATCCACAAAGTGATCGACGGCAAGGTTGCGCCTTTCTCTTTTCGGATGCCCCCGCGCTTGGCGGCGATGGAGGAGGAGATGGGGGGGAGGAGCGTGGGGGCGAGGAGGAGTGGGAGGGCTGTTGTAGGTGAGGGGTGTTGGGGTTCGGTCGAGCCGCCTCATCATCTCGCCCCCTTTACCTTTTCCGATCCTTCCTCGCCTCCGCATCTCCCCCTCTCCCCGCTTTACCTCTGACTCTACGCATGCAGCTGTGCCATGGCTATATGCCGCATGTGCCTACGCCGCCCCTCTTGCTTCGACCGCCGGCCTCGCCTTTCGCAGCCCCCCCCCATCCCGCGCAGGTTACGCAGGGCCTCACCATGCTCGCGCCGGGCGAGAATGCAGGCCACTACCACATCGAGGACTACGAGGATCAAGGATTCGAGCATGAGGAGGTCTTGGACGACGGATCGGTGCTTCGGGCTAACGTGTGCTAACTGAAGTGACGAACGCTCAACATACACACACACACTCGTGCCTGGCCCATGTACCGCCATAGAGGGGTGTCGGAGCGAAGAAGGGTTGTCGGACCCCCAGGAGGCTTCCTGTTGAGAAGGGGCCCCATCCGACAACGCATAGCCTCCTCCGCCCCTCCTATGGGTATGGTGTGTGTGTGTGTGTGTGCGTGTGTGTGTGTGTGTTGTTCGTTCGTCATTTAGTGGCTCAGGGTTTCAGACGCTACATTGCATTCAATACGGTTAGTCTATCGATTCGGGCATGCTGCATGCTGTCTTGCATCTCCTGGTCATCGGTTTCGGGCTTCAGCATCGGTCGGTCGGAGTGTTCTGGCGCGGAGGTTCAGCTTGGCAGCCGAGGGGCGGTTCAGATTTCAGTTCGGTCAGTTCAGATTTCTCTGGCCCATGGCCCCTTTGTAAGCAACGTGTCTTTCATGTGTCTCACGTGACTACTTCTCGGCCTCGCATTTTCTGCCGCCCCCATGTGCGCGGCGGCCCAGACGAGGCTCAACTTTCAGAGAACCAGGTAGCCGCCAAGAAGCAGAAGCTTTCGGAGGCCATGACAAAGTCGAACAACCATGCGACGAACGTTTCAATGACTGATGTCCTCCAGAGGCTCGCGCTTGGGAAGGCCGGCGCCGGTGATGATTCAGACGCCGAGGGCGAGGGAGATTGTTCTGGTGATAGCGATGCCAGCGATGACGACTCCGAGAACGTCGATGAGATATCCCTCGGTGGCGCCTTGGCAAGCATCTTGGGCAAACAGAAGCAGCAGCCCACATCGAAGAGAAAGCCAACGGCAACACAAGGCGCCCCAACTGCCCGCGCAGGGAAGAAGGCTTCAGGGTCTGCGAGCAGTTGCACCACCCCGGCCAAAGCGCAAACCAAATCAGCGGCGCCAGCCCCAGCTCCTCCAGGGAGCGATGGCAAGAGGAAGAGGGGTCGACCACCAAGTAAGCCAGCCGTAATCATGGATCTGGGTGACAAGTGGGATTCCCTAGTAGAGGCAGTGGGTAAAGAGATGAAGACGGCCTACGACAAGTTGGTCACTATCGTTTGGACCGACGCTTGCGACATTACCAGGCCCCCCGAGGCCAAGGAGTTCAAACAAGTTCTCACCGATCGGCTGAAGGATATCAGCGCAGCTAAGAAGATTATCGACAAGCGCAGCACCAAGCTCGGCACCATCCCTCAGGAGGCGAGCGAGGTCGCGGAGGGCGCCTTGGATGAGGTGAGCCAGATCGCCAGCCTCATCGCTGCGATGACCGACGTCTGCAAGCAGTGCGCCGGCGAGGTGACTGACGAGAACGCGCTGAAAGACAATCTGGCCATCATGACCCAGCGCAGTGTGAAGGTCACACTGGCTGGGGAGGCGAAGGAAGGCGAGAAGGAGAGGGAGAAGGAGGATGCGGAAAGGAAACGCGGAGGATGGGGAGGGGGAGGAAGCGGAGTAGGATGAAGAGGGAGGGGGAGGGGGAGGAGGAGGAGGAGGAGAAGAAGGAGGAGGAGGAGGAGGAGGAGGATGGGGCGAGGTGGAGGAGAGGGGCGGTGCGCAGAGAGGGGCGGGCAACGTGACGCGCCGCTCTGTCTAGTTAAGTTTTTCCCTACCTAGGCTCTGCCTGGAAGGGATCCTACTTTAAAGGTTACTTAAAGGGCCGGGCAGTGGTGCACACCCCGAGCGGTTCCCCCAGGATCCGCCCCGCGGTTCCCCCAGTGACGTTCCCTTAGCTTAGCGTTGCTTATCTCATCTTAGCTTAGCTTCTTTCATTTTAACTTATCTTAGCTTTAGCTTAGCTTTAGCTTAGCTTTAGCTTAGCTTTAGCTTGGCTTTAGCTTTGTTGTAGCTTAGCTTTAGCTTAGCATTAGCTTAGCTTTAGCTTTGTTTTAGCGCAGAGTTAGCTTAGCTTTAGCTTAGCTTCAGCTTAGATTTAGCTTAGCTTCAGCTTAGTTTTAACTTAACTACAGCTTAACTTTAGCTCAGCGCTAGCTTAGCTTCAGCCTAGTTTCAGCTTAGCTTTAGCTTAGCTTTATTTGCTTCAGCTTAGCTTTAGCTTATCTCTAGCTTAGCTTTAGCTTAGCTTTAGCTTAGCTTGAGCCTAGCTTTAGCTTAGATTTACCGTTCGTACAAATGCTGCTTTCCTGGGAGCTCCAACTCCTAGGTAGGGTCGCACTGGGGTAATTTATTTCTTGAGTTCTCGGCGGGGTCATTCGGTGTTCGGCGTCTTGGCGGCTGACGGGATGGCAGGGGAATGTGGCGTGCAGAGCTTTGGCTTCCCAGGTCGGCCGCTCGTTCTGGCGCAAGCTGCTGAAGAGTCAATGCCACTCGGCCGCGGCGTTCCACGACTACCCGAAGTTCGCGCTCGCCGCGTCGAATTGCAGCGATGCCGTCAAGGCGCCGGTGGACACCACGTCCGAAGCGGAGGCGGAAAAACATCGCCCTCGCTATGATTGAGCAGCAGTTCCAACACTCTTTGAAGATGATGCCGCTCAATGAGATCACGAAGCCAGGTTTGACGCGGGGTCGATGCAAAGCTTTCTTGGCCCCCCATGAACGCCGAGGAGACCGTGGGCCACAAGCACCTCAAGGGGCAGCTGTCTCTGATATTGCAGGTGCTTGCTCCCGAGGAGTCGGATCGGGCTGCCCTTGCGTCGGCGCTCGAAGAGTTCGAGCAGCGACAAGATGATGACGAGGGCCTCCCCATGATTCTTGCCATGAAGAAGTCCCTCATGATTGCGAATGCCCTGGAAGTGCTCGAGGGGCGGCAGTCCGAGGTTCAGGCCGACAAGCTTCTGACCTCTGCGCACGCCGCCATCGCCGAGGCGAAGGCTTGCTTCGACACGGTGCTCGACGGCGCCGCTTTCAAGAGCTCGATCGGGAAGGCGCTTTCATGCATGGGAGCTCTCAGATCAGGCAAGCTGTCCAAGCGCCAGGCGGCGACCTTGGCGGAGCTGCACGCCAAGATCGACACGATGATCATCGATGCAATGAACAAGTTCATGGAGCGCTTGGTCGGGGGCGTCCTCGAGCCACGGGATGGCGCAGCTGCCGTCGCAGCTTTGGAGGCCAGAGTTGTCCTTCTCTCCTCTCTTCTCTACCTCCCCCGTTTCCTCCAACCTCCCCAGGCTTGCTCGTTCAAGTCCTACCTCCCGGAGTCTACGGCGCTGGTGGGCGAGCGCGTGTGGGCCCATTCTTCCAAGGTGTTGCCGTTGCTCTCGGCATTGGCCCACATGGCCAAGATTCAAGGCGCTTCTGGTGATCGCATGTTCGACGCCACTTTCATGTCGAAGGCTACTGCAGTTTCGGAGCTGATTGCAAATGAGAAGGTTGGCTTCAATGACGGGATCATGTCTAAGCTGGCCGTTCTGGAGAAGGACGTCGCGATTGTCCAGCGCGAGGCCTTCATTACCATCGCGGCCCCATGGTCTCCGGCAAGCGCGACCTCGCGGAGGAGGGGAAGGGCCCGATCATTGCGGACATTGCCGACATGAAGATTCTGCTCGACCTGCCCTTGCCAGACGCGAACAAGGCCGCAGGGGATCGGGTGTCGTTTCTTCTTTGAGTGGTGGGGCCGATCGGGGCGCCTCGACGTCGAGGCGACGTGGGAGTAGGAGGAGCAGGAGGAGGAGGAGGGGAGGAGGAGGAGGCCGAGGAGGGGAAGGAGGAGGGCGACGAGGATCAGTGCAACATTAAGGTAAGTTATAAGGACGGTATAAGGTAGCAGTAGTTAGAAGTGAGGTATAAGTTGTTATTAAGTTGTAAGTTGTAAGTTAAGTTGTAAGTTATATGTTATAAGTTATAAGCTAGAAGGTACAAGGTACAAGTTAAGGTGAGAGTTGGGCAGGTTCTCAGCTCTGACCTTAAACCCAGGCTAGCCACTTGATTCGCTCGAGGACCGATGCCTCTAGCTAGTCAGCCCACGTCAGCTACCCGTCTTTTGCCTGAGCCCGCGCCTCCTCCGTAGTTCGGAACATTCGGATTGGCCCGCCTCTCGTTGCAGACTCAGCTGCAACTCTCAGGCTCCACCAACGTTGGCCTTCTTCAGTTCGATTCTCGTCTGCCGATCTTCGCCGGCGGGCGCGCAGACCCCCCCCCTCATCCTGCCCGCCCCCGGCGCGACAGGCGGTGGCACATTTGGTCATCGACGGCATCTACGCGGCCGGCGAGGTGCACCTCGAGGCCGAGGAGCTCACGGCTGACTACATCAAGGCGAGCGTGCAATAGGGGCGCGGCAGGAGCAGGAATAGCTGATTCCTGCTCCTGCCGCCCCCCTATTGTTCGGAATGTAAAAGGTAGACGATGGAGGGCTGACTGGAAACGGCGGGCCCAGGAGGTAGGTCGGAGGAGGCGGTGGAGGGAGGGAGCCGATCAGTCGAAGTCTTGTTGTTTGCTTCTGTCGCGTCTCAGGGGCCGCGCGTGGGCCCCTCGCTGGAGGGGTGGATCGGCTGCTTTCGCAGGGCGGTCGGGCAGTCAGTTTCGCAGGGAGGTGAGGCCCAAGATTCATAACTCATAGTCATAGGAGTGTCGGAGGTAGGAGGATTGGCTAGGCTATGGCTACGCTATGCTATGGGCCAATGGCATGGGCGCGGGTTGTCGGACCCCAGGGGGGCTCTCGTTCGAGCAGGCGCCCTCATCCGACAACGCGACATCTGTACGGGTGTATGGACGCGTGCGTTATGCGCTCGTGAACAATTGCGGGAGAGGTGGGCAGGGGGGCGATCTAACATGTAATCGGGTCGTAGACGGACCGTGGGAAGCATCATATGGAACATATACCATCTATCGTATATCAGATCAAGGGTACTTTATTTGCAGGGTAGAGTGGTGTATATTATATACTGTATACTGCATACTGCATACATCACAGCGAACACGACGCACGATAACAAATACACAATGCTAGCGCTATCACTACACGTTACCACGTCCTATGTTTCTTAGGCTTTTAGGCTAGGTCAAATGTCTTCCTACTGGTTCTTGCTTAGGGCTCCCGATATAGGTGCAGCATCAGACGCTCCGATGTTCAGTGGGGCTCTCAAGGTTCGTGACCCCTCGCGAGAGGAGTGACGCCTCGCGAGAGTAGGACCTGGGACCTAGGTAACAACTGCGGTGCTGCCATCTCTCAGATCAAAGGTCTTACTAGATCAGGTTTGGGGCCCCCAGCATGGGTTCAGAATCGGAGGCCCCCAAGTTCCAGGGTGCTCTCTCTCAAGGTTGGGCGCAGCACGTGCGGGCGGCGTCTCTCGCGATTAGCTTTTAGGCTCGATGCAGGAGGCATGTTGACCCCGTCCCCTGTGGGCAAGCGACAGCGGCAACCTCGCAACCGCCGAGTTCGCGTCGCCCGGAGCCCGTCGGGGAGAATATTGCCTTCGCCTTGGTTCGAGAAGCTGAGGAAACGCGACCACTCGTTCAACGCTTCTGCTGCCCCGATCCCGACGCCGAACAACCCCAGCCAGTCTCTAGTGGGGGCGGACTTCAAGGACGGCTCCGCTCTTCGCAAGGTGATGAGCAACGTTGCCCAGACCCTGTGCGACACTACGCCCATCCCAGCCGCACTCCCGCAAGAACTGACCTTCTGCTGGACGTGCTCAGGCAGCGGGATGGACTTTCACATTTCGAGCGCCATCCAGCGCGCCTTGCGGGTCAAGGGCGGCGGATCAGCGACGTGCACCCATGCGTTTTTGTGCGAGGTCGACAAGAAGAAGGCCCAGTGGATCGTCGACGCAACTGAAGACTGCTGCGTCTTCTTAGACATCCGCGACGTTCTGAAGCCGAGAGCTGATTGCTTGCGGCATCGCACCCAATGGCGCCCAAAGCGTGCCATGATATACCAGTTGGGCTTCTCGTGCAAGGGCACCTCCAGGGCCAACAGCGAGCCGGAGCAGAAGCGCATCCGCCCCTCCGTCATCAGCGTCGAGAACGATTGCAGCACTTACGTCACGTTCTCGGGGACGATTGAGGTTCTCAGGGTCCACAAGCCCGACGTCGCCTTTCTCGAGAACGTCGACGGGATGGCCGACTCTAGCGAGGACAAGTCACTCGTGACAGGGGGGGAGAAGGAGGAGGGGAGGAGGGAGAGGTTGAGAAGGAGGAGAAGGAGGGAAAATCATATGATGAGATGACAGGAGGAGGAGGAGGAGGAGGATAATGAGGAGGGCTGAGGATGAAGAGCGCCCAGGTTGAGTGAGTGATTCAGTGATCTGCGTGGCCTGGATGATCTGAGTGAGTGAGTTAGTGAGTGGCCGATCTTCTATCTGATATAGGCTATATAGGAGATAGGTCGCTCATTTACCCACTCACTCACTCACTCGCTCACCCAGTCACTCTCTAACTCTGAGATCAGAGATAGGTTACCCACCACTCCTGTTCTTCCCCTTCGCCATCCTGTTCCTCCCAGGGCCTCTCGGGCAGGAACTGGAAGGTAGTTAGGGAGAAGGGCAGGAGTGCGCCCAAGTGACTAACGTGGACGCCGCGGTCCGCGCGATGGCTGAGGTCGGCTACTACTGCCAACCCATGAAGGGTGACGCGCATGACTGGGGCGCCCCGTGCGCCAAACTTCGCCTCTGCTTTCCCGCCGCGCGCAAGGGGTCTCCTTTGCCGGGGAAGCTGGTTTGCAAGAAGTGCTACCATGACCTGCTGAAGATGGCGCGGTCAACACGGCACGTGGCCCCAGACATCAGAGATTGCCTCTTGGAGAGTAATGATCCTGCCGTCGTCGAGGACTTGAGGCAGCGGAGCAGGGCCCAGAACGCGCAGCACTCAGACGACCCGCCCCGTCAGGAGTGGCCGAAAATGCACTCGGCCTTCTTATCGCAGATGGGCATGCGCTGGGGGAAGCTCTCCCTCGCCCCAATCACCAAGTTGTCGGACTGGTCAGCTTTGCTCACCAAGCGGCAGGTGGAGGTGCTCGAATACGGCCAGGCCGCTCACAAACCAGACGAGACGGGCCCCAAGGAGAACGATTCGGCGAGCATCGATTTGTCTCAGTCGATTATCCGCTTCGGCATCATCAGGAAGAACGGGCACGACCGCTTGGCGGCCATGACAATCTTGCCGAAGGCGTTGTTCTGGTTGGGGGAGGGCGTGGCTCCGGGGCAGCAGAGGCTGATGCTCGGCCGGGGGGCTCTCGCGTTCCTCTTTTTCCTTGCAGCGTCGGTGGATGAGAAGATCCTCTCGGAGGCAGGGGAGTCGTTCATGATGGGCTTGGCTGGCAATGCTTATTGCGCTTCGTGGATCGGCTCGTTCATTTTGCGCTCGCTGTGGAATCTCCCTTGGAAGCCGACTCAGTTGGAGAAGGCCCCCCTCATGACCCCGCCACCTAGGGCCCACGGGGTCGCAAGGTCCTGGGTGCACTTGGATCAGATGCCAGCTGCGTCGAGCAACGCCGAGCCCACGGCCTCAGATGAGGTCATCGCCGTCGACGACGCTGATGGCGAGGGCTCCGGGGATGGTGAGATTTCTCCAACTCAGTTGGCCTTAGCATCTTTAGGACTTCCCAGGGGCCGCTAGCCCAACCTTGCCCGAGCGAGCGGCGCTTGCGCCCCGACGCGCGGCCGCTCGAGAGTTGGGCGGGGGAGACGGGGATAGGATAGGCTAGGGAATTTGGGAATTTCGGAACATGGAATATGAGAGGGTGGGGGAGATAAAAGGGGGTCATTGGGGGACAAGAGAAATGGCCATTCATTCATTATGTGGCCGGTAGCGGCTCTTTTAGATAGGCGTTGCAATCGGGTCGGATGCGAGATGATTCGATTGAAGTGTCCGAGCTTGCGGGGGCAATTCAGAGTTTGTTTCGCGGGGATCGGTGAAACGGCCGCTCTTGTTCATCCCATCGTCTATCCAATTGTCACTCCGCTCGTCCTTGTCCGGCATCGTGATCTGATACCCCGTTGTGCGGCTCCCTGGCCAGTCCCATGTTGTTGAACCTGACCCCAGAGATAGTCGATATTCGCGTCGCTCGTGATCGGAGTTCCGCGTTGAGATCGGGCCGCGCACCCATGCCCACGCTGCCGATGTCCATAGGGGGCCAGGGGGAGGAGGGCTGCATGGGTGCGGGTTGTCGGACCCTGGGGGGGGCCCCCGCTCGAGCGGGGGCCCCTGTCCGACAGCGCGCGCCCATAGCACCGCCCGGCCCCTATGGCATATGATTCGGCATGGGCATGGGTGTGCGTTGTTCGTTCGTCACGGAGGGGCCGATCCGCGCTCGCCCCCCCCCGCAGGGCGCCGCGACGAAGGTTGACAATGCGGTTGGGCACCTGGAGATGGCCAAGGCGGCGGGCTTCGCCCTACTCGCGGGCGGCACCTGCCTGATCAACGCAGAGACGGCGGCCGCCTTGAGCGGGTTCCAGGAGGAGATCAAGAAGCTCAATGCTTC